TACAACAGCAGTATGACATGGTCCACATGAATAATTGAAACAAAAGATACACAAGTACCTCTAATCAGACATGTTCAGTTCTACTGTTAAACAAAAGCGGCTGGCTCGGCGGCTAAGGCGGTAGCAGAATATTATTAACGTTTCATTATTTTCACGCAGATCTATGGAGAATATGTGAGCGGATCCATTAGTGATGAACACAGACAAGATGTTATCCGCAACTCTTGCCCCGGTGCAGGGGCCTGTGGTGGAATGTATACAGCCAATACCATGGCTTCTGCAATAGAAGTTATGGGCATGTCTCTTCCATATAGGTAAGTACATTGGTAGATTTTTGGTGTTGTCTTTTTTAGTGTGCTGGTCCTTATTTGTTCTTTCCATAGCTCATCTACACCTGCCGAGGATCCACTAAAGTTGGACGAGTGACGGTTAGCCGGAAAATATCTTCTTGAGTTGTTGAGGATGGACTTGAAGCCCTGGGATATCATCACTCGCAAATCATTACGTAATGCAATGGTTATAGTTATGGCCCTTGGTGGATCTACCAATGTTGTGTTGCATTTAATTGTTATTGCCAAGTGAGTAGAATATTTCTTCATGTGCTTACTGAGCATCTTCAAGAGATGGTGCTGCTACTGAACATTATTTTGCAAATTATATATTTGTGGATGGTCAAGAGAAGAAATAAATGTTGAGTTAGATATTTGGAGGCAAGGCTTTGAAATTCATGGCTTTCATTTTAGTAAAAAAATCAAACTGAGAATATAGATTGTATGCTTATTGCTTAGTGGGAGGCACAAATGATAGCTTAGAGGTAAAGTTGAAGAATATCAATATACCATATTACTAGTCTCACATTTAGATTTTAGGTTCTGAAAAAACTTAGTGATTAATGTATCCTTTTCAGGCACTATCTTCTTCAAGTGGAGACAGCAATGGCAAAAACTTGTGTGTATCTCCTACAAAATTTGCAAAGAGTGATGAGCTTTGGGATTCTTGTGTGTATCTCGAACCTCCATTGATCCAAGATGTCCAAATTCAATAGGATTCAGAACATAAGTCTTCCAATACCAGCTTAGAAGACTGTTCCAGTTCTAGATGTGGTTTTACTTTTTCTAATGAGGACAATTTAATTACATATGACGGACCTTTCTCGACGCTTATAGTGACAATTCCGCCTAGAGTTGATAGTTTTGTGCCTAGGACAGCTTAGAAGATGATGTTGATGAATCAGATGAAGATATTAGTGAACACAATTTTGCTTGTTAGATAGTTTGAAATTTGTATTCTTTTTTCTTATTAATTTGGTTGAACAAGTGATTATTATTAATTTGATTGTGTCATTTTTAATAATATAATTCTAGAAGTATTGTTATTGACTTTATAAACATGTTTGGTTGCTTTAAAAATTTGAATGTGATTAGTGTTATTGTCTTATTCAAATTAGATATTTGTTTTTATATTATTATATTTAACAATAATTATAATATTTTAAATATAAATTAAACAAAATAAACAACAAAAAACAAAAACATGAGAGATAAATTACCTGCGAGTTTACCTGCGGATTTTCCGTTAGCTGCGACATTTCCTGCGAAAACCTCATTTACCTGCGACATTATCTGCGAAATTATCTATTTTACCTGCGATTTTTTCCTGCGACAATTTCCTGTGACATTTTCCTGCGACTTCACCTGCTACGTTAATTACCCACGAAGGTTTTTGCTGGGAATAGATAAATAGCAGGAAAAATCGCAGGTAACACGTTTCCTGCGGAATTTGTTTCAGAATCTGCAGGTAAATCCGCAGGAAAATAGAGTATTTCTAATAGTGCCACTTTAATTCCAACCCACTTATGTAATATATTATACATGTTTAAGCTTTATACACTCTTTCATAATACTAGAAGAAAAAGATGTGAGACTCTACAATTGAACTAGGGGCTAACTATGGTGTTTTGGGGTTTGGTGTGTTTATTCAATTCAACGTTGTAACCAAAAGCTTTCATAATACAAGTATTTTTTTCATTAAAGCCAAAAGCTTACATAAAAATATTAAATATTAATTCTGCACTGATGGATTATATAACTGAGAACTTGCTGCATACTGTATTGATAGATTATTTTAAAATCCTACTTTTCTAGCATTTTATTCATAATACTCTATCATGAAGATAACCATAATTTTTGTTTCTATAATCTATCAGATTAAGATTAAGAGATGATATATGCATAATTACTAAGTTAGAATGGAAAATAGATTAACCCCAACTGGCAGCATGAGTTTGATGGTAATGATGGAAGTTATGTCTTCAAAATAATGTGTTATGCTATACAATTATTAATCAAAGTTAGAATAAAAAATAGAAAACCGATCGTCTGCCTAATATACTTTTATGAAAAGCTCTAAGTAAACACAATTTGGTATGGAATCAAATGTGCATATCAGAGTTATACAAAATGATCATGACGTAGAAGTCCTTGTGGTTGAATTAATGACAAAAAATTTCTATAGTTCATTATTTAAAGGAAAGGAAAGGAAAGTGTTTGTAATAGTATAGACAATGAACTCATAGGTATAATGTTTCAATCTCCAGTTTTTCTTTCTCGTTTTCTTTTGTTAAATTTTCAATCCAATTTATTTGCTTCATCATGAATTGATCATGTCCATCTGCATCGTAAAACTCGTCAAAGAAGCCACAAGCAACCTGATTATATCCCTATATAAATTAAGAAACCAACAAACAATGTGATAAAATAAGTAGAAGATTCACAATAATTTATTTCAAAAATTTGATAGAAACACTTATTTACCATTTCAACTTATCTTAAAATGTGGACAATCCAAAAAAACTTTTGATAGTCGCTCACTGTTCTTACCATGCGAAGAACAACAATGTCTTCACAATGACAACAACGTTTTCATTGAATACTAGAACTGTTAACCTATGAATCACTACTTTTAGTACTTTTGTTTTTCCCTGAAAATAATGAGCAACGCTCATAACTCTGTTAGCTCACAAATTCGACGCCCACATTAAATTAAAGGGTTTGGGGGAAATATTAAATTATCAAAGGAATATGAACAAAACCTTCGAGTAGAAAAACCTTCGAGTGGTTGAAATATTAAAGTGTTTGGGACTTGGGAAATATTTCTAAACATTAAAGAGATTACCTTCGACTGCTGGTCAAATATTAGTGGAATTTGAAATTCAAATAAAGGAGGGAGTATTTATGCTTTCTCATTGTTGAACAAGACAAGTGGCGCACATCCAACAAGTAACCACATGCAGCGCGACACTTGTCATGGACGGATCATTTTAGGAGGTTAATTACAGTTAATTATATTATTATAAATAGGGGTTCTAACAATGGAATTCAGGGTGTTGTATTTTACTATTGTACAAGTCACTCTAAAATTTACTCAAAATATCCTAGTGTAGACAAAAGAGTTCTAGGAGAATGTACGTCATGTAAAAACACCATTTCTACGTTTTAATGAAACTTATATTTATTTCATCGTAAAGAGTTTATCTTTTTACTTCTTTGCAATTTACATCATTTTGGCATTATGCTTTACTTTGTTTAAGTATTTGGAAGGTTTTTTACTTTGTTTACTACAATTTCATGTCTTTTATTTCAGCCGAACCCTACATTTACATTAACCTTTTCCTCATAAACACTATCAAAGTGTTCAGTTCCTTAGTATTTTCTCTTAAGTAAAATTTAACACACGTCCTAGGATCAATCTGATCGATCCTATGAGTCACTAAAGTTAGATTTGAAAGATCAGCGATTATTTTTCAATTTTCACGAGAAACAAACTTATGATTATGGAACCTAGGTTTTCAATTTAAGTTTCGTTTTAAAGAATATGGAAGGAGAACGCCATAGATGCAATATTTGACGCCGTTTCTGAAAAATAGACTAATATGTCGCTATTTGAGTAGATAAAGGGTCTAATTTGACGTTTTGAAAAAAAATAGACCAAAATAGATCCTAAAATATAGATAAAGGAAAAAAAAAGTATTTAGTCTAAAATAAATTTTATACGCTGGAATGAGAGCAAGAATAGGTGTAGGCCAAGTACTAACATTATTTACCCTGTAATTTAAAATTGAGTTTTTCGTAACCCCAATCCCGCCCCCATCCCTAGTTAAATCAATTTTTTTTTCATTAGTTCGAGATGGAGGCGGTCGGATCCGGACAGAGATAAATTTATTTACTATACCTAGAAAAAATACAGCAAAACCAACAAACATATCCTCACTTCATAAAAATATAAAAAAATAAAATAAAAATAAAAAAATAAAAAATAAAAAACCTTTAGCCATCCATAACTCAATGAAAAAAGCATCCAATTTACTTGTTGCTGGCGTAGGATGCATGAATCCAAAAGTGAAACACAGTAGCAATGCATGACAGAGGAATTACATTTTAACCATCATAGACAACAAGTAGAAACCACAGCAACATGAAAGCAATTAACCAGCTTAAATTTTATCTTAAAAAAAGGCATCAACTATAATATGCAAGAATTTAGCAGCAAAACTCCAAACTCTTATTTATTAATAACAATCAAAATATTATACGTGAAGAGATAATTATAAATTCAACTACCTTAAGCCTATTTATAAGTACTAAGTAACTAGTAACTAACATCAATTAGTAACTAATATCTTATATTTCTAATAGTATTTTTTTTTCTTGAAATAAATTATAAATTTAAATAAATAATGTGAAATACAAGTTTGGAGGCATAAACACAAGGAGTTTCAACTGAATTTTCTTAAAGATGATTTCTTGGAGAACATCTACTCAAACATTGATGCATCTTTCAAATTGCAAATGTTAAAAAACAAAAACCTACTTATAACACATTATACACACGGTTAGATTCACACTACATAGTCCAGTAGTCTAGGGAAGAATGATGAGATCAAGTACACAATTTATTCTACTACACGAACTTTACAATTATTGAGTTGTTTTAAGTTGTAACTAATTTACCAATTCATGTTTAGCCTTCTCCAACGCTGTCATGGCTTCAACTTGCTTTCTGTCTCTCTCTACAATTTGTTTCCTTGCTTCTTCGGCTTGCCGAGCTTTATCTTTTACGGATATGTCAACCTCTAACTTTCTTCTTTTTAAATCGTCAAGCTGAATCTCTACCTTCACTGTCTCCGACTCGCAAATTTTCAACTCTTTTCCTTTTTCAAGGACCATCGCCTCGAGACGAGCAATATCTTCAGAAAGCAGATTTCTCTTTTGATTGGATGCCGCGAGCAAAGCCTTGGTTTTCATATAATCATCCTTGATGTTAGCCAGTCTCGCTTTCTCCACCTCCAAGAATTTACTGTGCTCCTCCAACGTTGGAGAATTTTTCATGGACTTGTCAATTTCTGCCATAGACGTTGCGAGGTTGATGAAGTTCCATACATAGTCAGAAAATTGTTTACACTCAAATCCTAAAAGGTTTAACATAGAAAAAGTGGCTTCCGCCGTCTCTCGCATGGATTCATGCTGGTGAAAATCCTCTAGATCATTGAGAAGTCGTTGCTGTGTAAATAATGCAACTTCTCTTTGTCTTTGTGCTTTTAGCTGGCTGTCACTTCCCGGTGATCTGTCAAGGCTTACTACATCTGTCGAAAGTTGGGTACATTGATTAGGAGTCTTGATAGCGAGATTGTTGCATTCACTTTGGCTATTAAGCGTACTTGTTTGTTTAGGAACTTCTATAGTATCGGGCGATGGAATAATACCTGTAATGATGGGAGACACAAAAATGATATGTGAATAATGCAAAATCGAAGTAGACGTGACACAAACAAATGAGATTAAGGAAATAGTACTAATAGAAGAAAAACGGTTTGGGTTGAGGGGATTTCAAACTTTGAGTTGGATGAAAGAAAATAAGGCGATCTAACCAAACCGTTGGATAAAAACCTGCAATAAGATCAATATAATTTCCACATATGAAGATAGTACCTAATGATGCATCAGCAGCCAAAACGTCGTTTTGGAATAAGCTCTGTCGACAACTGATCCTCGAGGTTGTTGACAGACGTGAAAATAGAAAAGCTTCAGCCTCAATTGCTGCCCATGAGGCTAAGTTTATTGATTCTAGATCATCCTCAAACTCAATTTCTGGAAAACCGACATCTAGTGAACCGGCCTCCTCTACAGACGAACCTCCACTTTTTCCCTCTAGTATCTCAGATCCAGACACAGGTGAAGGATTCTCGGAACTATCCGTTATTCTCATCCTTTTGGTTGTTAATAGCAAATCACTACCATCAGCCAAATCATTAGCCAGGTCGTCATTAACAGCTGTATCGATTTGGTCTCCCTTGATAAATTCATTGAGAGATCTTTGCTTGCTCTGTCGGACAGGAACAACGCTCGTGCTATTGATGCTTGCGTCAACGCTAAGTAGTTCATCTTCCCACACTCGGTAACCACAAGACCCATGACCCTGTTTGACATCAATAACATCAAAGTTTTCTTAGTTATCTGATCACAATTATGATCGTAACACATCAGCAGCAGCGAATTTAACTACAATTATCCGCAATACTAATAAACCCCCATTTGGTACTAAACAAACATCAAATGTTTCACAACACATAGAATCATACAAATTAGAAAACAAACCTAACATAGCATAACATGATATATACCTGTTTAATGGGACAAGCAAAATAGTATTTAACCCCATTAGAACCTTCTTCTGTTTCCATCACTTTTCTACAAACACCAGCTCCACATTTACACTCAGGATACATGATCAGAGGAGGCTGCAAATCAGTCTCATTGATGGGATCATCACACCACTTAACAAAAGTACTACACCGTGCACCCTAAAAAACCAAAAAACACACATGAAAAAAAAACTTAGAATAATCATTAAAAATTGAAACTTGAAGATGATGGTAACATTAACATACCCTTTTGATGGGACATAGAAAGTAGCGTCTCCCGTAGTTTTTTTCACTGTGAGCGGTTTTAACATGGCAAAAACCGTGACCGCAACGGCACTGTATCAGTTTGGAAGCAGAAAGTGATGAATTGAAATGGGGTTTAGTGTTGCTGTTGTTAGGGGATTTGAGAGGACAAACGGAGGCCCAGTGACCTGGCTGGTGACATTCGAAGCAGTTATTCCTATCTTGAGGGTTTGAATTTGGAGAGTAACGGTTGGATTTTTCAGGAGTAGTAGGAAGAATTTGAAAAAGGGTTGAAGGAGAACGAAGAGTGTTGATTTGTTGTGGTGGTTCACACATTTCTCTTTTCCGTTTTGGGCTGGTTTGTTGGACAGTGGTGTGAGGTGAATGAGGAAGAACGGTGGTGGTGGTGGTGGTGGTGGTGGAGAGAGACGTTGGTTTAGACGTTGAGTGTTGGTGTTGGGTGATCATTGTTTGAAGTAGAATAATACTACTAGTACTCCATAAAAGGACACTGTCTCTTGAAATACTGCCTCGACCTTTGCGACTTGAGTCAGATTCTCTTTTGATGAGACTAGAGAACAGTAGTATTAGAGCATCTCCAATGGTGCAACCCATTTTTAGGTTCTTTGTGGGACCCACTCTTTTAAAGCAACTCATTTAATTTTCACTCCAATGGTGCAACTCTAAAGAATCCATATTGGGTCCCACCACTTTACTTAAAAAATATTATTTATATTAAATTTATTTTATTTAAAATTATAATTTAAATATTTAAATTTTAATTAAAATGATAATTAAAATAATAAATAAAATTTTATATCAAATTATAGTTTTTATATTATTTGTGCATCTTAAGACCAACTCCAATGGGAGTTTTTAGAGTGGGTTTGCCAACATGGCACTTATATTTGTTGTTTTTAAGATGGAAAAGTTCTTAAATATGCAACGGTTCTTTAATGGTTCTTATATTAAAATATTAATTTTATAATATAAAAACTATAATTTGATATAAAATTTTATTTATTATTTTAATTATCATTTTAATTAAAATTTAAATATTTAAATTATAATTTTAAATAAAATAAATTTAATATAAATAATATTTTTTAAGTAAAGTGGTGGGACCCAATATGGATTCTTTAGAGTTGCACCATTGGAGTGAAAATTGAATGAGTTGCTTTAAAAGAGTGGGTCCCACAAAGAACCTAAAAATGGATTGCACCATTGGAGATGCTCTTAAGGGGCCTTCAAGGATCAAGAAAAAGACTAGAAAGAATATGAATAAATCCAGAAATATATTGATGTTTGACTCGAATTATAGTTTGTATGACTCAAATTGTGAAAATAACTTTATTTTAAAATTTAATTCGGAAAATGTGACTTGAGTCATAAATTGACTTGACTATTACCATTTTACACTAGTTATGACTCGAATTAAACTAGAAAAATTCTGATTTTTTCATCTTCATTCAAATAAGTATCTTACTTGATTTTAGTCATACTTTTTGCCATCGAATCAAATCCTTTTTGCACATATAAAACATAATTTTTTTCTCTCTAACTCATAACTTGTAAAAATAATTTTTGCAAAACTTTTACAATTTTTGAAAAATCTTGAGTGGTTTGTCAATTCCATAAACTTGTTCTCTCAAATTAACCTTGAAGAATTTTATTTTTTTAGTTTTGATTTATTGAGTGTGAACAAGTGTTATGTGATTATTTTTTTTTTAAATTGTAACTACAGAGTACAACCCGAAAGAGAGTGAATTAGATTTTTTTAGATTTTTCTCATTATTGATTTGATTTTATAAGCATATCAAGTGGGGGGAAAATTAATTTTGATAAACAATCATTGTCAAAGGGTTTATCATCTCAACAAAAAATTGTAAAAGCAAATGCTACATCAAAAGGAAAAAAAAAAGAGTATTTTGTCATGATGCATGAGTTTTGAGTAATTACCACAAACATAAAAATGATAGTTCTTGTTTAAACTTCAACTTTTATCTACTTATAAAGCCACCTTACCCGCCAAAACATTTGTGCTTCTGCAATAATAAAAATAACAATAATGATATTCACTAAGATAATTGAGGGCGCATCATTCTTAGCTTCTTCAAATGTCTTTTTCATATTATTTTCAATATTACCAACCAACTTTGACATGAACTCAGGACCATTAATGCATAAAAAAGTATTAGTTTCATTTGCAACAACTCGTGCAATTAAAGTCTTACCAGATCTAGGGGGTACATATTGTCGTATCTCGAAAAAAAAGAGAATATGATGCCCACGAAGTGCAATCTGTAACAGCCCAAATTTCATTAAATAATTAATTATAGTAATTAATTGATTTAGTGGGGTTTTTATTAATGTTGGAATTAATTTTTATTAATTGGTATGGATAGAAAATTAAGAAGGAATTGGAGAGGAAGGAAAATGAAGGAAATATATAAGAGAGAAAGAAAAGAAAAGAAAGATAGAAAACATTTGGAAAGAAAGAGGAAAGAAGAAGAAAAGAGAGAAAGAGAAGAGAAGAAGAGGAAAAGTGGAAATCATCAAGAACCAACATCAAAGCTCCGATTAATCGAGGTAAGGGTGAGAAATGTTTCTATTTGATCATTGTATGATGTTATGTATGTTGGGTTGGGGTTTTGGTAGAGTTTCCATCACTTTCCAATTAGGGAAAAAGTTGGAATAATCGGTAGATTGATGATTTAATCGGTTGAAATTGAGCAATAATGCTGTAGAATAGTCGGATAACATGTATTGATGCTATTTGTACTGATTTGGGTGTGTAAGAGGAGGTTGATGATGGATTGGTGAAGGAGAAGACAGAATAGGGTTCTGTTCTGCGCAGGTTCGCTGGCTCTCGCCAGGCGAGCGAAGGCGAAGCTTCGCCAGGCGAAGCCTAGCGAATGTTGGCGAATAATTATATTTAAGTCCCAGTGGACTTCGCTGGTGGGTTCGCCAGGCGAAGTTGGATAGCGAAGGTTCGCCCAGCGAAGGTGCTGGCGAATGGTGGCGAATTAAGTCAGTAGCTACTGACTTGGGCTCGCTGGGAAGTCTCGCCAGGCGAAGCCTAGCGAGTGTTCGCTGAGAGAGTTCGCCAGGCGAAGGCCAGGCGAAGGTTCGCTGCGAGGGTTCGCCAGGCGAATGGAGGCGAATGTGACAGCATTTTTCCTTTGCTGTGTTGTTCATGTGGAGATGGTTTGGTTGCCTCTCATAGGTCAATACCTCTATGATGTGATATAGATATGATCTATTGTGATGATGTGTGTTGTGGGTAGCCTACGGGCGTGAATCCTAGTTTGAGGTGCGATGCGTATTAATTGTGATAAATAGAAATACATATGAATACAATGATGAATGTATGTGTATTGTCTAATGAACTTGCGAATGTTTGATGTGTATACAATTATGTGATGAGTATGCATGAGAACATGGTGGATATGTGTGCATAACTTATAATTGTATGATTGGTATTGTGATGTGTATACCTTGTATGAGATGGCATGAGATAAAGAATAAACATACTATGAAAAATGTGTTGTGGATGCATATTGTTTATGTGCGATTGTATGTTAAAATACATGAAGAATGCATGAGAGCATAATGATGGGTATGCGTGCATTGCTTGATAAATATGATGTTGTATCGAATTATGAATACATCGATGAATGTTATGTGAATATCTTGTGTGTGCAATCATAATGTAATTCTTGAAGAGATGAATTATTTGAATGCATGAGATTAAGATGTCGGTCTTAAGTGCATTTGTTGTGACTGATTGTACATGCATCATTTAGTCAAGAGGCAATGTTTGTTAGTTTCGTGGAAACTAGTGGCTTGTCCCAAACCTAGAAGAGTGGGTTTGAAGGCTTAGAGGACGGGCCTTTGTGGTTATCGGTCTAGAAGAGTGGACCCGGTTTAATGTAAAAACCGAAAAAAGATAACGAGAGTCGGTACCGCATTGCATGAGTTGCATTGAGTTATTGAGTCACATTGATATATGACATATGCATGAAGAGATGCTTATGTGTGAATGATGAGATTGTGGAAATTGTAAGTGTATGCATAATGTGGAAATGCTTTGTGAATATCCAGGTTTGTCTATATATATGTGTGGTAAATATATATGACTAAGAGAATGAAGTGTGGTGAGAAATGTGAATATGTGTTATATGACTACCTATATATATAATCTTATGCTTTGATTATTATGGTTATATTTCTCACCCTTCTGCTGTTTTATAATGCTCTATGAGGCATTGCAGATTAGGATGCTTGAGTCCTTTTGTGAAGTTAGTCTTCATTCTTTTGAGTCGGCTGCTCTGATATGTAACACCGGGTAGTTAGACTAGTATAGTCATTCTTTTGTGATACATTGCGATGTATCAGCTGATGTGGTTTTGTAATCTAACTGATATGATGCATTAATCTGGATGACTTATGTGCATTTGAATTAATATTTTGGAACTGATCAAATGATGTTATTTTCCGCTCAAATTAAATGTTGAAATGTGAATTCTAAAACTACGAAATTGTTACATATTTTATGGAGCAAAATGTTAAAGAGTTTCGTTGGTGAAATTGTGGCATTCTTCTTTTATACCTTATTATAAAACCTTTTTACTCTGATAATTTGTATGTGCTTAATTGTTTTATATGCATTTATTTGGGGTGTAGAAGGGGGTGTTACAATAGTGGTATCAGAGCAGGTCGGTCCGTCCGGCCAAGTTGTTAGAGTGTTTTTCCCTGTGTGTTATTGATATGCGTGTGTTGCATTATCAATATTGGTTGTTCTTACGTGGTTCTGTTGCTGGAATTAGTAAGATGGTTGCAGGAAGGAACGACGAAGCGATTGCGGAGGCATTGACGAGATTGGCGGGGGCAATTGGGCAGAATCCTCCGGCCAATGTGAATGAGAGGAATCATGCTGATGATGGATTCCGTGCTTTGGGGAAATTCCAAAAGAATAACCCTCCGGTCTTCAAGGGAACTCATGAACCAGACAAGGCACAAATTTGGTTGAAAGTTGTGGAAAAGATTTTTCGAGTTATGAATTGCTCGGATGCACAGAAGGTGCAGTTTGGGACTCATATGCTCGAAGAAGAAGCTGAAGATTGGTGGGGTAATACTCGCCAAAGATTTGAGGAAGATGATATTGTGATTACTTGGGATTTGTTTAGAGAAACCTTTCTGGAGAAGTATTTTCCAGAGGATGTGCGGGGGAAGAAAGAGATCGAATTTCTTGAGTTGAAGCAAGGTAATTCGACGGTTGCTGAGTATGCGGCGAAATTTGAGGAGTTGATCAAATTTTGTCCTCACTATAATAC